CATTAGAATGAAAAGAGCTTATATTTCAAAATTTGGATCAAACTAATGGCCATAATATGGTTTTTAAAAGTTGTTGTATCATATTACTATACACCGTTGCATAAAATCATTGCCCTATATAATTTGGAATATGTTTCATGCAGATTGGACTGCATTTGTACAATATGCGGTCCAGAGGTATAAAGCATCCATCTTAATGATGGATGCAAATAGGTGATCCAACTAAAAACAATTGTAACTAACGGTCTAAATATTTTTTTAATATAATTATTATTTATAGTTTTTAATTTTTTTTTTTTTTTTCTATATTCATTATCTCCATGTTAAAAATTATATATTCTCTAAAAATTAAGATCAAATTATATGTAAAAAATATATTTATTGTCAAGCCCGTATTTCTACTATATGCGTGATGGCCGCATAAAAACATTGGGAAGAACTAATTGACCATCCAGAGATCAAGATATATATATATATATATATAAATAAGAGATTTTAAGTACTAAACATAACACATTTTACAACACATTATCTAAAGAAAAAAGTTTATACAGGATTGCAACCTTAAAACTGCAGAGTTATGGTTCACCTTAAATATCCATTAGTAAGGGCTCTTTTGATGTTGGAAAACCATGTAATTGATCGTCTCAACATCGAGATGTATAGAAATCGAAAAAAGAAGATTTTTAAGTCCTAAAAATAATGTATCTCGCAACACATTATTTGGACGGTCCATTTTTAAGATTTTCATGTATTTATAGATATGCTTGATTTGAACCATTTTCTTTTAATTTAAAATTTTATAATTAGATATGAAAATAGATTCTCAAACCATTTGAAAAAAATTCGACAACAAAGTTGCATCTTATGACATTAGTTTTGAGGCACATGTTGCTTCAATTGTTTAAGGTTGCAAGTTTATACAAACCAAACTCTTATCTAAACATCAAATTTTAATATTTTCATGCTCTTATAGATCTGTTTGATTTGAACTATTTTTAGAGTTTAAAATTTTATAATTAGAAATAAAAATAGATTCTTGCACGATCTTGAAAAATTTCAAACATTCTTGCACGATCTTGAAAAATTTCGACACCAAAATTGCATCTCATGACAAAGTTCGAAGGTGCACATTAAATTTGATTGTAAGGTTGCAACTTTACGAAAACAACACCCTAAATAAAATCTTGAAATCCAAAAGAATGAAGATTTATTAAGGACTGATATGTACACATGCACCCTCCCTCTAAAATTTATATTAAAGATTTATTTTAGATCCAAAATTTTAAGGTTTCATGATCTAGACCAAGGTGATCAAGACTACGAAAAAAATAGAATAGAACTTTTAAATTTAAGATGTGTTTTATTAGAATTTGGGTGCACCGTCTATATAATAACTAGTGCACTTTTAGGCAACATCCGTCGTAAAGATGGACATTTGTGGATCAGCGGGTTCTTATATCCTGACTCACATATGAGTTTTTAGACGTATATATAGAAATGCGGTTGCTTTTAATAATTTATTTTTAAAATAGATTTTGGCTCTAATTTTTAAGCAGTATAAAATTTCTAACATAGAGATCATTAATATGTAAAAATAA